TACAGTGCGTCCGATGCTGTTGCGTGTTATCTCAGTTACATAGACGGTGATTTTGAAAATTTGTACTTTTTGAACCCCCTCTATATCTACGAAATTTTTCCGCGAAAATGTCGAATTGAAATCTTATTTTCTAGAGAATTTTACGCAGAATCAAGTGACGCACTCGAATTTCTTTTTCGGGATATGGTTTTGGAGATATGACTCAACCTTATGATATTTTAAATAGAACGCCCTATATTTCATAAGATGAATTAATCCCTTATATTTTCCCTTCGAAATGATATATAATATATGAATATAAAATTCTCGAAAATGCTCCAAAATCACTTAAACGTTCAATTTGAATAATGGGCTATTAATTTTTCATATGAAAAAAGGTCAAATTAAAGGAATATTCCTATTGATTTCCATGAAGAAGACAAAAACAATACCAATACTAATTAACAAACGGAACACATGATTTAGGTACGTAATAGCATCAAATGAATAGTAAGAAAAAGTTGATAATGTGGAATAAGCACCTGATTAAATATGAAACAATTGAACTTCTTCATTAAATTGTTCGAATTTCGTCTTTATTCGGTAAGAGGCACTACAATCTTGAAGAACTTAGTGCAACAACAATTCAATGAATAACTCACTGAATAATTTCAAAATTCAATTGTTCCAGTAAATTTGCTCAGAAAAGAATATTCTCGGATAAATTATGAACATGAAAAAATGGATTTATAAATGAAGAAAAACATTGAGAATCCGCTTTCTTTATGTGATGAAAGTATCAATTCGTGCTCGGTTTTTAAAAAATATTTGCTTATTCTACATCATGAACTTTTAATTAATATTTATTCGTTGCTATCAGGTACCTAAGTTTTGTGTTTTGTAAATTAATTAGTGGTGGTATTGTTTTGTCCTCTTCATGGAAAAATTAGAAGAAATATTCCTTCAATTCACCATTAAGATGGTCTTATATCACAAAAAAAAATATTTTATAATTTGATAGAACTCACCCAAACTAGCTCACCACCGCAAACCGTTTCTTGCTGTGAGCTCCTTACGTTTTATAAAAAAATATTGAAATCCCCGATTTTTCGGCCCTCTGAAAACGAGGCGATGATGTGACGTCAAAACCCTAATACTGAAACAAGACTATATTCCAGACAGAGATGAATGATACATGATTTCTGACAGAGTGAATTAGCGCGAGATCACAGTTGAAAGAATTAATATTTCCGTTGCCTCAGTCTCCGTCGGGCGTTTGGTATTTTCTTTTAACTATGGCGAGATGAGGTTTCTACGTCATAAGAGGGTCCGTTTTCAGAAGGTTCTATTATTTATGTCCAAAAATAAAACATTCCAGTAAATTTTTCGATCGAATTATGTCGTCAATCATTATTTATGTATAAAAGGATCATTATAAACATGGTTTGAGTTGAAAGTTCTACTAAGGTGTACACGCCCATTCAATGTTTCATTGATTCTGGAGCATTTTTGAAAATTTTATATTCCTACATTATAAATATCATTTTGAAGAAAAAAAACACGGAATCACACGAGCTGATGAAATACATCAGGGTGTTCCATTTGAAAAATCATAAGTTTGAGTCGTATCTCCAAAACTATACCCCCAAAACAAAATTTCAGTGCGCCAATATATTCTGTGTAAAATCCTCTATGGAATCAGATATTTATTTGACATTTTTGCTGAGGAACTTCGTAGATATAGAGGCGGTCCAAAAAGTATATATTTTCAAAATCGCCCTGTATCTCATAAACGGAAACAGTTATGCAAAATCAGAATGAGGCATCTTGACTTTCACCGGAAGGTGGCACATGACTGCAAAAAAAGGTTCTATCCCCAAAGATTAGGTACTGATGAGATATAACACGCAAAAGCATCGAAAACTGGACTCACTGTGTACTTTTTTTTTAATAATTGACTTGGCCGTTACTTGATTAAGAAGTTACTGTGTTAGAGAAACATGTCGTGTGTTTGAGAATGTTGTGGAAACTTTATCGTTTCGTGAAGTTTTTACACTGTACAGGGTGATTCACCATAAATGCCCCCCCCCTCTAGTTCAGTTATTTTTAAACCGATTTCTAAATTTGAAATATCATCTTGAATGATTTTCGATAAAGTTTTTATCCGCTGCATCAGAAAATACAGGGTGCTCGGAACGAACGATCTACAGGGTACTATTTGATTTTTTATATGGAACACCCTATTTTTCATTGTATTTTTAGATTCTTGATGATGATCTGATTTCATCAATGTATCACACTTGGGGTCTAGCGGGATTGATTACAGAGATATTATAGGGTCTTCAACATCGAGATTTTTCAACATTAGGATTTTTTTGAGACGAAACTATTCATCATCGGTCAAAACGGCTTCCATGCCCATGTCTTTACTTTCTATTTACTATCTTCTGACATTTAATAATTACGGGGTATCAAAATTCTGAATCTTGAACCACCCTGTAAATGTTCCAATCAAATGTCAGAAGACAGTAAATCAAAAGTTGAGATGGAAACATAGGAGCCGTTTCGACCAATAATGAATAGTTTCGAGACAAAAAAAATCCTAAACTAGAAGAATCTCGATTTTGAACATCCTATATCTCTGTAATCATTCCCGCAAGACTCCAAGTGTGATGCATTGATGAAATCAGCTCTTCAGCAAGAATCTAAAAATACAATGAAATACAGGGTGTTCCATTTGATAAAATGAAGTAATACTCTGTAGATCATTTGTTCCGAGCACCCTGTATTTTCTGATGCAACAGGAAAAAGAATTCTGAAAAATCATTTTAAATAATCTTTCAAATTTTCAAATCGGTTCAAAAATAAGTGAGCTAGAGGGGGGGACATTTATGGTGAATCACCCTGTACATTGCCGAAAGTCAGGGTGACAATCAGCCGGCTTCACCGTGTCTATCCAAGGCCACCCCGAATTTTCTCCCTCGAAGTCATTCTGTCGGAAAATCACGTACGGTCCCGAGTCGAAATAAGTTCGAAACCACTCTTGTTGGTTGCCTATTCACATCAGCTGTCGAGGCATTAGAGAAGCAGGGGCCGCGTTAGTTTGAGATTCATAATTGGATATGAATTCTGGAGTGTTGAAATGCCGGAGATGACACGCAGCTATGCCGGGAAGAGAAAACGAAATATGTGCGAGCATTTGTATATTTCAGGAACATCTTCAATCACAATAAGAGTTAAATTTGTTCTGTTTGCGAGGAAACAGCAGGAGAACGAGAAAGGCATTCTCGAGGATGCTTCAGTTCCTGAATTAACTTGGTATTTCCCTTCTCGCTCTTAGTTAACAATGAGAAGAAGACCTTTCATTAGGATATTTTCACAATGAAATATCCTCCCCAGCTGAGCTAGGGTATGATATACAGAGAGTTTGTAGAGTAATGTCGGAGGTTAGGAATATACCTATCCGATAATATGGAATATCCTATTTTTGATAAAACTATACAAGCGCCATCTACTTCAATTTGATATAATGTGATTCCATTGAGGTCTTAGTTCTTCTATAGGTATCTATCGATCTATCGTTTCTGACAGTTCTGATAGTTGATGTAACTTATTAGGTGAGTTTATTAAATGTATAATTCAAACACATTTGGAAGTGAGTATATTTCATATTATTGTTAAGTTGAGTAGATGAATGATGTATGAAAAGTTCATCAACCTCCGAAGTAATATAGGCAGCATTTGACATTATTTACCCCGATATTATACCTATGCAAAAATCTGTATCCGCTTCAGGGGTATCTTCCTTTCATGGCTTAGATCTTACCTGACTCACAGAAAGATACACGTTAAAGTCGACAATTGTCAGTCGAAGCAGTATGACATCGATCTTGGAGTTCCTCATGGTTCTATATTAGGTCCACTGATTTTTCTTTTATCCATCATTGACATGCCCAATCATATATATAAGCTAAGATTATGTAGTTTCGTATGCAGATGGTACAACGATTGCAGCGATGCAGAGATGCTCCAAGAAAAATCAAATACCATGAGCTTCGAGTGCACGAATTAGTTTAGTAAAAACTTCCTTTTGGTAAATATTGAGAAAACTGTTCTGATGCTGTTTCATCCTAGAACTGATAGAAAACTTGATAATCTCCATGTTAGAAAGGGTGATGCACCAATTGAACCATTAGACAGCACCAAATTTCTAGGTACTTTTATCGATGGTAACATGACATGAGAGTCGGGTATAAATCATGTCAGTAGAAAGTGAACAGTATATTCGCTGTTGTATTTTCCCATATTTCTTATAATATTGCCATTTGGGGATGTTCGTCAAAACTCAGCAAAATATTCGTCTCATGGAAAAGGGTCATACGGCTAATATATGGAGAGGCTACAGAGAATCTTGTAGGTAACACTTTATTGTGTGTACCTTGCATTTATATTTACAAATGTATTTTATTTTTTAGGAAACAAATTCAGAATTATGATCAAAACTGTGACTTTCATACGTATTCTACCAGGCACGGTGAATTGATAAGACTTATGGAACATTCAACTCGTCTGTATGAAAATTGTCCATCTTATAACGGAAGCAAAATTCTATAATCACTTATCTGACGAAATAAAAAATGTACACAGACGAGAAAGTAATTTCAAAAAATATAATTTTTTTGCTTATATTCATTCGAAATTGTTATCATAATTCGGTTTAATAAATATTTCGGCCACACCGTCACCATTTTAGATTTAAATATTATTCAATACTTTCCGAAATAACTCAAAAAACAAAACAGGTATTCCATAATCTTCGACTCTATTATCTACTGGAACGTTGATATCTCCTCAGTCTTCCGTTTTTTTTTGCAGACAGAAGTTTGTTCAAGTGCACTCAGTGACGTCTAGTGTATAATATACTGAGGGTTTCTAGTACTGGAACATTGATGACTTGGTGTCTTGTGTCTGGATTGATATTTTTTTAACTTTCTGTTTTTTTAACTTTCTGTTTTTTTCAGACGGAAGTTTGTTCGAGTGCACTCAGTGACGTCATCCATGCTGTCATCAATGGTACTGATGGGTGCCTCTTTTGCTTTGGTCATGCAGGTTTGGGTAAGTGAAGCTATTTCAAGCCAAAAACTTCCTTGATCATTTCATTATTCACTCAATACTGCATTTCGAATCATTCTAATAAATGAGTTGAAAATAATAAAAAATGTATGAGTAAATTAATCAGAAGAACCATCAACTCTCTGTCTGCGTGTAAGTACTTTGAAAACGATTGAGATAAGAAAAAGAAGTATCGAAATCACTATCTGCTAGTTTCCAATACAATTATCACAAGATAAGCGTGAGATAGCAAACATTTGGAAACCGATTCACCACACAAGGATTTTATGACACATAAACTTGAAGGATCAACAAAAATACTAGATACAGACACTAGAATGGCCAAAAGTGGAGTAAAAACGTGTAGAACATTCTTCCCTTCGTTTTTACACCCGAATATTGAACACTTCATTGCATGTTTATCAGAATGGAGTGTACTTCAGGATCTTCAAAAATTAAGTTCGAGATAAATTTAAATAACCATGAAGTAGCGTACTATACCGGGCGTCAACGAAGCTATCAGATATGGAAATTTGATATAGTTACATGGTATGTTATTCTGGGACACCCTGTATGTCTGAGTATATTCCTTTTCAAACGTTAAATTCGTTAAAACATCCTCTTCTCGGAGAGTACTAGTCAAAAAATGTTTGCCATTTGGAAAAATCTAGTTAGACAAGGAACACTCATTTTTATAATTTATTAATTTGACAATAGCAAATGACAGTTATTGTTGTCACTCACTCTCCGCCCGGACCAGGGTGCCAGTTCGATTTCTATTTCATCAGTCAAGACCTTAACAAGAATTCAGTAGATTTCAATAGATCAAATTTCAAATGATCTCTTTCATGCTATACGAAAATGAAATTAACCTATGACGTCAAAACGCATTATGTACTTTAAGAAAACAGAAAAGTAACCTATTTCCTACAAAATAGGAACAAACAAAACAAACAGTCCCATACAAAAATAATAATATTCATTATTCTCATTTCAAAAATACTCACGAATATCACAAAATACAGTTACATATAGGTACTTATAAGATTTGAGTATATAAAAAATAGGAACGAATAATAAAAATGAACAACAAAAATACAAAACAGTTCAAAAAATTACAAACTGTTTGATCTCAATCAGATAATGTTTTGTCCTTTTCTGGTTTTTATATATCATTAGTACCTTTTTCTACTCATATAACCAAAATGGCATTTAGCGTACGGATATGTACCACGCTAAATGATCGATTAATCACGGATTGTCGATCTGCGATTTATTCAAAATATTAAACACGTTACCATGGCAACACGATTTCTTAAACACATTACCATGGCAACGTAGTTCATTAAACACAGCTTCAGTAATTTGAGACATGTCTGGCCTGTCAATTGTATTAACTGTCAACTGTTATTTTCTAATTTTGTATCAGAATTATTCAAACAATATTCGTTTTTATCAGAATTTATCATTAAAAATATATGCGAAAAGTAGACGAGAGTGAAATCGAAGAGAATGTTCTGGTACTTGCATATCTCCAAGAAGTGTAAAAATGAAGCATCCATATTTGAGAACAATTTATTTATTCTGCGCTGAGCATTACAATAAACGTGAAACAAAGATTAGTAAGCAATGGACTGGACACATCTACAACCAATATCACTTATACGTGTCTCGCTGGTTGCATGTATTATGTTCTCAATTCCCATTCCTTTCGAATTATTTTGTAGGTTAGCAGGAATTGCAGGTATGTTAATGTAATTTTCGGAGTTCGTAGAAAAATAATAGTATGTTTATAAACTCTTCTAGACACTCGTTTATTGAACACTCGCTCCGCTCTGCTCCGCTCGTGCTTAAAATACTCGTTGCTAAAAAGACGTTTATAACACTTGTTACATAATATAATATCGAGCGAGCCGAAATATCATGCAATTTATAAGTGTATGTGATAAACTGAAGATTGATATTAATATAGGTAATTATAATGATGAATGAGTGTCGAAATATTCTTCAGTAGATCATGAAATGTTTCAGAGGATCAGTAGATCAATATGCAAATCAGGAGATGTATTGAAAATTCAGTAGAACTGGCAACTCTGCAGCATGTGGAAAGTGTTTGCGGACAAAAAGTTAGTGTCTGCGGACAAAAAGTACTTGCCTTTGAAAATAGTCGGTTTTTGTTCGAAAATTTCAACGTCAAGTGTGATTTTTTATGGGGTCGACGAAGAAAGAATATATGTAGGTATACTTATCGTACGCTCATATGAAAAACGATTCTCTTTCGAATTTATATTCATGTATTAGACAATACCGACTATTTCCAATTTCGTTTTCATTTTCGCCGAAAATTACAACACAATAAAGGCGTAATTCGATTTCTCAGTGACAGCAGCCACCCTCTAGATTGATGCATCGAAAATATCCATGCATATACAACAACCTATAGTGCGCGGATCACGTGGAAAATTTGCAATTTGATGGAAGTTTCTATGAGAAAAGTCGACTTATGCATACAAAACACTGTGTGTATCGGATTCGGGCGTTTTTTTAGGGACCGATAAGCTCCTAATTCCGCTCTTCGAATAAATACTACGCCCGTAAAGCGAGATTTCCAGTGGCGTAAGCAAAGAATAAAGGATTTTCATGTTCGCATTCCAATAAAATTCTGTGAATTTGAAAGATCATATACAGAATGTTCACGTAATGGAGTGACTTTCAGGGGGCACTTTGATGACTCGTGCATTGTTTTAAAAATTTAAAAATCTCGATTTTGAACACCCTATATCTCTGTCATCATTTCCGCTAGACTCCAAGTGTAATATACTGATGGAATCCGCTCTTGAGGCAGAATCTAAAAAGAGATACAGGAACACAGGAAATGTTCATTTGAAAAATCGAAGTTGCTGCTACTAGTATAAGCGGCTTTTAGTAACAAGTGTTTACTATATACGAACTCATAATTCCTCTCTTCAACAAAATCCCATAATTCCGAAAATCATATTAACCTTCTCGCTTACCTACAAATTAATTCGGAAGAAATGGGAATTGAGAACATAATACACTACGCAAGGCTACGTGATTTTGGTTGTAGATGTGTCCAGTCCATAGGATAGATGAATTTCAATAATATTCGTGCATGGAACCAACGAGGAAATGCAATGAAAGAAACCGTATTCGTTGATTCAGATGAGGAGATTAGATTAAAAAGATGCAATCGGGCTCTTTGCATCAACTCCAAGACCTTTTCAGATCTATTATGTCTGTCCTCAAAATCGTTTAAAGTTATTTAGCTAGCCCCGCCTTCTATTAGGCTCCTTAGGCTAGTTTTTAGGTCCCCTGTGTATCTTTGAGCTCTCGGTTTTTCCTTTCCCAGCGTAAGGAACCTTAGTCTTGACAAGACCTCACAGTGGTAGAATATGTGCACTCCTGTTTCCTCCTCCTCCTTTTGCAGTTCCTCAACCAGACCTATCTGACTCATGTGTTTGTTGAGCCTACAATGCCCTGAGAGAAGACTCTTTAGTATTCTAGTTGAACTTCGTTTCTGGCTCAGTAGATGTTCTGAGAATATTGGCGATAGTTTTTTGATAAACTCCTTTGCCTGTCTCATTCCTGGCGAGTTGTTCCACCATCCTTGAGATTTGGTTTGCATCCATGATTTCATGCTTATTGTCTTTCGTATAGCTTCCGCAATACCACAAAAGGGCTCTGGGCCATTCAGAGCATCACTATAGTTTCTGCTCGGGCTAGTGAATCTGACTCTTCGTTGCCCTCATTCCCTGTGGTAATTTTCTACCCCACTTGTGGTTGATTTGACTTTACCAGTCCACAAAATGTCTTCAAACAGTTCGTTATTGTCAACTGCATTTTGCCCAAGAATAAAATTTGAGCATAACAAAGGCCAAATTACCATGTTTACTAATCTCTTGAACGGTTTGTTCCTTGAGAAGAATTGAGTTGTAGAAAAAGCCTCTGAGTTGAATGATCCATCCAATATGGTAACTGGAAAATGACAGACAAGAATGTTTTGGAGGGATAAAGAAGTTCCTGGAGCCGTATAACTCTTCAGATTTCAAAAATCTTTGAAATGCCTACAATGACGATTTTCTAGAAAGTATCAACCACACTAAATTTCAAATTGATGTCTTATTTTTTTTTGTTCTGGTTCCCACGAAAGGGGATATCCTGTTATATTCAGAGAACATCGTGAGAATCAAGCTAAATGAGGCAGGAATTGGTGTTCTTCTCAAATTTCTGGAGGTTATATGCCTCGGGGAACACCTCCCTTGGCAATGTGATCCAGAGCCTCACTGTTCGTTGGATGAACGAGTCTTTGGAAAGAGATGTTCTGCAGGTCTCCAAAGTGATCACGTAGGAGTGCGAAGCCTGAATTCGACGGGTTAATCTCGCGGGGAAAAGTGAGCAAGATATTTCAATTGATAGAAAAAAATAATTAAACTTTGAGACCCTGTAGCTCCGCTACCGATCGAGATTGGGCTCATGTTAATATAAACTTTTCTGATCAAAATAATTGATGAGAATTATCACCCATTTCATTTTGTACCTCAAACCCTGAATCACCTTGTATATATGCTTTCACGAAAAATGTCCAACTTACATAATAGGGATTTCCTTTCGTGCTACCCAGAAGAGGAACAATTATGCCATTCACTAGCAGCTGAGATCAAACACTCAGTTGAAATCTTTGCTTACATTCAGTCTACATCTCAAGCAACCAGAAAACGTTGAAATTTCTAGATGACAAAGATAAAATTCAACTCCCAGTGTGGGATGATATTTTGTCGAATGTTTTGTGCACTCAATCCGTTATTATGTACACATTTCACACGGTGGCCAATATGAAAATTTCCTAACCCCTTTTCTGTACGCCAATGAATATATCTTAGCCAGGATTAGGGAGATTCCAAAATCCTTCTTCCCGAGTTGAAAAGACTTTCCGATGATGTCGTTAAATTCAGATTATCCTTCTAGAAGACAATGCCGGGTTT